CTAGAATTCTCTTGAATTTAATAATATAGTAACAAACAGCTAACAGCATAGATCTTTGTGCAGCAGTTACTGGTGTATAAGCAGATAGAAAACGACTGTCTGGTTTGCTGAAATGAGAGGTTAGCAAACCTGCCTCCATGGAACAACCAAACAACTAAACAAAAAAAGATGAGGAACATTTTTTGGCCTCTAACAGATAAATAGGAGGTCCTTGGACCATCATTTTCTGACGGGAGGAAGCGCCAGAAAAAAAGGTGGCAAAATCCAACTGGAAAAGAGGGCATTTGGAACCCAAATCAGGAGCATACACTGCTGCCTGAGAACTGAAAAAGGAAGGCAAACTTGTTGATTTGCTACAGATAATTTTGATAATGTAGGAAGTGCTAGTAGCTGCAGTGGCAAGCAAGAGATGGACATGGTACCAGATCTGGGCTTCTCTAAACTCCTTGGGTTTCAATCTTAGAACTCTTGGGGACCACAGATGTAAATGGTGGAATCTTGGGTTGAACATAAGATGCAAACTGGGGACTACTGTAAGGCATCAGTACTAACCCCATTGCATGGCACTGGGAAATGGAGAATATGAGCACATCAAATTCACCTAAAAATTATGTCACCACTTCAGTTCTAGTGCATAAAAAAGAGAGAATTGAAGGGGTTTTGAACAATTTTGCTGTAGGAAGACTCAGTGAAGGCTTCAGAATAATTCTAAATATCTTGAAAACCCTATAATTTTAAAGTTTCAGAAGACTCCCACTCTCCTGATATTGACTAATTTTACATGAAAGGGATCATTATAAAAATTGTACCACTTCACACTTTCTTTTTTTAAAGGTTGTAACGCAATAAATAAGTCATAACATGAAAAGTGTGTGTATTTTATTTATATATATAATATAATAAATTATATATAATTTATACACACATACATTTGTATGTAATTTGTATGTGTAAAACTGTGTATGTGTATAAAAATATGCATGGAATGCCTGGAATCTCATAACTAGACAAATTTCAGACTAGAAATAAGCAACATATTTTTAACAGTGAGGGTAATTAACCATTGGAACAACTTACCCAGGGATGGGATGAATTCATTGTCATTTGAAGTCTTAACATCAAGATTCTATGTCTTTTTCTAAAAGATCTGCAGTAGCTCTATGAGAAATAAGAGGGTTGATGGAGGAATCACCTCATGACATTCTATGGCCTGTGTTATGGAGGAGGTCAGACTAAATGATCATAATGGTCTTGTGTCTTTTGTCCTTAAAATCTATAAATATGTGAATTGTATATATAAAAAGATATCGATAAGGAGGCACCCTAGCAGCTCCATAGTTAATTTTACATTGGCTCTTACAACTAAAGCAGGGTTTAAATTCATGGGATTTATATGCACATACATTTCATTACCAAAACTGGGCCATTTTGAAGAGAAGGTCCAACCCAAATTCTCTCTCAAACTTCCACTGGATTCAGCAATACTACTTATCTTCTAAGCACTTAAAAAAAATCACCCTGTTTTTAAAATTTGTACTTAGGGTCTGTATTTTTGGGGGAACCCCTGTCACTTGTGTTAATACTCTTACTTCCCCTATTAGTGAACCTTCAACAAAATACCCATGCAGCATACTTTAAAAAAGAAGCCAGCAAACCAAAAGGGTGTAATTCCCTTTACTTGTCATGTCTTCCTTTTCCACCAAGGAAATTGATGGCGAATATGTCTCCACTATATATTTCCAGGCATGGAAAGGATAAGGTGATGCCTGTGAGAACTTGATCCTGGTAGCTCATTGTGGGCTGCAAGTAGCACAGGGAACTTGGGAGCAGTTCAGTGCTTCAAGAGACGTAGACAAGGAAAGATAGGAGAGTCGTATCCTATGGGTACATCTACACTACCTGCCGGATCGGCGGGTAGTGATCGATCTATCGGGGATCGATTTATCGCGTCTAGTGTAGACAGGATAAAATCGATCCCTGATCACTCGGCAGTTGACTCTGGAACTCCACTGCGGCGAGAGGTGGAAGCAGAGTCGACGGGGGAGCAGCAGCGGTCGACTCGCCGCCGTCCTCACGGCCAGGTAAATCGACCTAAGATACGCCGACTTCAGCTACACTATTTGCATAGCTGAGGTTGCATATCTTAGGCCGACACGCCTCCCCCCCCACAGTGTAGACCTAGCCATAGTACTGTGAACTCTACCAGGCATAATGTCTCCCTGCATTCCAAAGTCCAGGATTAGGCAAGGCTACAGGGCCTTCATCCCTCCTTAATCCTTCAGGAATCTTTTTGTAAAATAACATTGACTTTCCAAAGAGGGAAGTTCAGGGGCTCTGGTCCTTTCCTCTTCCTCCAGCCTAGCTTTCCTTGCTGTTCCTCATCTGCTGTGCAGATGGGGATGTTTCTCCAGTTCCCTGGGAATAACTACCATTGGAGGAGCTCCCATTATTTCCCTACTAATCCCCTTCTAAGGGCAGCAGCCAGCGTGAGTTTTTGTTCTCAGTGCAGTCAGTGCTGCTCTGACCTTGCTGATGATATCATTAGCAACTGACAGCAGTGAGGAGAGCTTCTCCCTATGAAAGAGGATGGACCCTTGGGAGCCCCCGAATAGACTAACCTAACTCTCCTCTTCTTAAAGCCAAGGAAGATTGGCTTGTTCCTCTTCACAGCTCTAAACAGGGAGCATCCACCAGAAAGCCTTTCCAGGAGGATTTTCTCTCTAGTTTTTTGGGCCGCCCTTCCTATTTTTTCCTTTTCAAAGCTTTTGCCAGCCTGGGAGCTGGTTGCACTAGCTTGTCGGTACAAACATGACAGATTGGATTTCAAATTGTGTTCTACTGTACTTCACTATTTTCCTTCCTTCTTTATGCTGAAACCTTACTGAACAGCCTTTTCTCAACACATGACCTTCCAGTGTGAATATATAGCACTCACTGTGCCCAATATAGCTGCCCAGGCATTTCTTTTTGTGGACCCCTTTGTGGAAGTGACGTACCTCTGCACTTTGTAGAAGGGAGCGACATGTGTTGCAGGCTAACTTTCCTAATATCGCAACTCCCATTTATGAAATGTAAAAATCTATTGGGCCCAATTCAGCTGCCCAAAGCTGGCTTATCTGCCTCTGTGAGGATTCCACTTGTATATGCGGGGTACCTGGGTGGCACAGATTTGGCATATGTCCCTAAGCCACAACACCCCCTACTACCAGTGGCGGCTCCAGGCACCAGTGCTTCAAGCGCGTGCCTGGGGCGGCAAGCTGTGGGGGGCGCCCTGCCAGTCCCTATGAGGGCGGCTGTCAGGCTGCCTTTGGAGGCTTGCCTGCAGGAGGTCCGCCGGTCTTGCGGATTCGGCGGCGGGTACGCCGAAGCTGTGGGACTGGGGACCTCCCGCAGGCAAGCCGCTGAAGGCAGCCTGCCTGCCGTGCTTGGGGCGGCAAAAAAGCTAGAGCTGCCCCTGCCTACTACCTCAGGCATAGGGATGTTCCTGAGGGGAAAGGGTGCAATCTCCAGCTGCTGAAAGACTCTTGGGTCAATGGGCAGATGACCATAAATTAGGACAAACTTGAAGCTTCTGTAAATTGCTCCCTGGACTGGACCAACCCCAGTATTGAGAAGCATTGAAAAATGGCATTTGCTTCCACACCTTTGTAGTGAGTTGTGCGGGCCATCCCAACCTCTGCACTAGCCTGTATTGCATTTATTTACAGAAATGTATTATGAGGTTTTTTTAAAGAAAAAATAGTACTTTTTTAATCCCTCTGCCTATAAAGCCGTTAAATCCCTCTGCCTTAGTTACTACAAGTTCAGTTGTACAGGGTTCAGAGGGAAAGAAGAATTGCAACTAATTTAAAATTCCTCCAAAGTGATCTAAAAATGGCTTTTTATTTAAAGAAAAATCAGTTTTGCAGTTTAGTTTCTTGGGACTTTCTAGGACTAGTGGCATGTGCTCTGTGTCCCATTGGAAAACTGGGAATTTTCCTTTTCTAACGGAGATGGGGGGAAGGCTCCCATTTCTAGCCCTGCAGGTTGTGAGACATCAGACCTTATACATGTCATTGAGTAGGACTAAATATTGGACTAGTGTAATTTTGGTGGTAATGAAGGAAGGATACATTTGGCTAGGAGAGAAGGAATGAGACTTCTCTAGCACATTGTTTGTTTAGGTTTTTTAAATGGCAGCTCTTTGTAGCTGTTCAGGGATTTGGAATGTTGGAAGTTGTTCTGGCCCAGATAGATTAGTGGGTAGAATGTAAGTGAGGTGGCCAGAAATCACATGATAAATGTAGCTGACTGTATGGTTTAGCAGTTTATAACACTGCTATCACTCCTATGTATGTGCACTGAAGAGAGAAAATTCCATGCATCAAGAAGATCAAGGGTTTGATCTTGCAAAGTGCTGAGTACCTTCCATCTCCATATAATTTCAATGAGGGTTGAGGGTGTTTAGAGCAGACTAACCAAGTTAGCGTGCTTCATATTAGCAGCTGTCAAGCTATTCTCCACAGATTTGTCTCCAGATCCAGGTGCAATCTAAATGGCTAGTCGGGGAAGGTTGGTTTGGGTTGTTTTTATCTTTCTGTTGAGAATATGAGTTCCAAAGAAAGGTATTGTGTTCTGCAGTTCCTGTGAATCAACAGTGATGTATCATTAGAGAAATAACACCCCAATACAGGATGCTGTTTCGAAAACTCCTACCTGCAGAGATGCTAAGTTTGACAATGGGTTTTAAAGGTAGAAATTTATGAAAGGGAATATTGCCTCTATTTATTGGGTTTATTATCCTGCTACTTCTATATCTTGAATAAAATCAGATAATATAGTAAAAAAACCCATTATTCAACATATTTGTACACTAAACAGTAAGAATGTTTCCTGGGCTAATGGCATATTGATGCTTAGTACTTTTATTTCATTTTTTGTCTATATTATGTTCTCAAATCTACGTGGTGCATTTTGACGTAGCAGACTGCTAACACATTCCAATCTTTTTAACGTTGCAGTCCACTCATGTTGCCCGAGCCAGCTTCCAGGTTGATGCATTTGGGTCATCATTCATTCTAGATGTAATGCTAAACCAGTAAGTACTGACTGTCTTTTATTCTGTATTTGTAAAGTGCCTAGCACAATGGGATGCCTATTTTGGTTAGGTCCCCATGTGCTACGGTAATATCAATAATAAATAATATTTGTATGTATCTAGTGGATTTGAAATAGTATTTGTTTTTTCTTGTTTTGTCAAATATCTCTGTATATTTTGGCATATTTTCAAATATTGCTACTTACTAAGAACCTTATTGTAAGATGTTTTGTAAGATATATTATTATTTAGTCTGTAATTCTGCACTTGATAGTGTGCAGGCAAATTGCTGTGCCCCATTAGACAAGGAGCTACTGAAAATTGGTAACTATTTGTTTTTAAACCCTGAACATATTATGTTAGAGGTCCACTAATAACACTTACAGCTAGTTGTCGAAAACCTAAGGTGAATGGTGCAAGTGACGTTTTTGCAGATAAGTTCCTTATCTTTTGAGAAAAGAGAAGCGTTATAAAACATTAGCATAGTGAATTTCAGACTAAAGAAAGTGATTGAACAATAGCGAACTTATAAATGAAACCTGATACTTAATTCTGATGCAACAGATTTCTTTTGGAAAATTCTCATCTGACAAAATTGAAACATTTCAGGTGAATGTATCAATATGGTAGAAATTTGACAAAAATTATTGATATATTTAAATTTGATAAGGTTGAAGCACTTCGTTTAGACTTTATGTTCTATCATAAGAATAAGGGTTTGCAGAAAGTTTACATTGTTTAAAAGCATTACACAATGCATGAAGATCACCCTTCTACAGAAAAGGAGTAGCATATAGTGTGTGTGTATGTGTGTGCATATGTATGTACATATGTAGGTGTACATGTACAGATAACATAACTTCTATAACAGATAGGGAGAAATCTTGGCTCCATTGAAGCCAATGGCAAAATTCCCATTGACTTCAGTAGGCTCAGGATTTCAGCTGTAGTGTCAGCCTGAGGACTGTCTAATAAGAAGAAATCAAATATTAATAGTATTTGGAAAGACAAGCGGAGGACGTTATTTTACTATGAACTTCTTCAGTAGCTTTTTCTATGAAAGTTATGTTTTTATTCTTCATGGAAATATGCTGTACATTTAAATATTTAAACTATTTAAAATTAAGCTTATTTTAGGATAGGATCCATTTTTCCCCCTAAATGGGTCAGATTGTGCTACCCTTTTTTCCTTAAAGGACATTCAATGACCATTGGAACTGGCCTAATGTGAGTAACGCTGCCACAATCCAGCCCTAATAGATGAACTGCAATGTTTTTCAAAATCTAAAAATCTGTTCTCTCTCAAACCAGTAATATAATGTAAACTAAATTCTGTCCCCAGTTTTCCCCATGTAGTGATGAAAATGAAAGGTGCTATTTGGCCTGTAATATGACATTTTATGCAAGGTTTCAAAAGGGCTTCAGAAATTGCATTTGCTCATGCACAAATCTTATCAAATAAAAGGAAGGACCAAGGATGCCAGAACAACATGGGAAATGTATTTTTAATGTATGTCCCCAGGAACAGATGTTATATTCAAAATTATATATATTTTGTCTTTACTATAATTAGAATGAGTTCTTGCTTTTATTTCCAAACTTGTATATTACATTTCTATGGCAGCATCAGACCTTTATTTATGAAAAATAAAAACTTTTTTGAGGGGTTTGGGAGAGGAATGTCAATTTTGTGGATGTACAAACAGAAGTGTATGCCAAATTTGTGGATGGAGTTTTGGAAACCAGTTTGGAAACTTGGCCCTTTATAACAATATATTTGAAAATCAGTTAATCACTTGCCTGCCAAGACCAATGTTAGAGATTCTGTTTCCTCTGCAAATATTGATATTAACACTAATATCTAAAACTGTGCTGAAGCAGGCATGTGTTAGTGGCATCATCAGCTCTTGCTGGCACTTGTATTTTGGGGAGTGTCAAGGAGATGATTTTGTCTCCGCCAAGCCCCCACAAACTTTTGGAGTTACATTAATTTAAATTGGTAAGTGGTAGGAAGAGGGCAATTTTTGAAGAATCTTTCAGTCTCCTCTGTTCCAGAAAACCTGGATCTTATTTGCCTTTGCTCGGATGCCTTGATTTTGGTAGCAGTATAAAAAAACCCGGATGTGTCTGTGTGTTACAACCATCATTTGAAAATTGTTTCAGTAGACAATTCTCCAGTTAAGCTAGAGGTCTTAGGGCTACTTCTCCATTGTTACTCAAGGGTTTAGTATGTATTCTGGTGATTTTGGGGTAATAGTCTATTTTCTTCTCTAGTTAATTAACTATACATAATGTGTAGTAGCCAGTAGTAGAAATATGTATTCGCAATTGTGATTCCATTCTATTCCCCAACAGAGATAAGAGGTCATCGGGGAAATAAAATAAAGGAACATAAATTGATTCAATAAAATTCACTAACTTAACAGTTTGGGCTATTTCTTGCATTTGTTCTCTTCTCCCATTTTTCATCCCCTGCTTTTTTTTCTGTCTCTCTCCAGATTCATTGTATACATCTTCACATCATTTTCTCATTTCTCATTACTGTTTTCTCTGTTTTCTCATTACTGTCTTTCCTTTCTCCCTTGTCTGTCTCTTTATTTGAAAATCACCATTCCCTTTTCTCAGTTTTGTCTGTTTATATTTGCCTGCTCATTCATGCCGATACCCTCCCTCCTATTATGTTGTGTCTTCCCCTTGCTCTCATCTGTATTCCATTTTCTCTTCACATTCCAGCATCTTTATCTCTCCCCCTCAATCTTTTGAAGGCTCCCATATTTCTCTGTCTCTCCCTTCCCCCCATGACAGCTCTGTCTCTTCCTCCCCACCCCAAATGTTTACACACTAAATATCCCCTCCCCTTCTGGCTTCTGCATATGATGCTTCCTGGCAACCTCTCCTCTCACAAGTGTTCACCAACGGATGGTCTAATGCTGCCAAGAATTTGAAGTTTATTTCCCCCCGCACACCTTTCCCCTTATCCTCTGCATTGCCTCCTCACCCCTCCCAGAGTGGCTGCCACTGTTGAATCTGGGAGTAAGAGGAAGCAGGGCCTCCTGTTCCTTTGCCTCCCCACCACATCATTTGTCAGCAACTACAGGCCAATGTGGCTCCTCCGCTTAGCTGCCCCCCCACCCCCCCGTAGCTGGAGGCCATTTTCATAGCTCAGAAGAAGAACTGGATTCGCTGTGAACAGCTGAGAAGGAGTTTGTGGAATCCTTTCACCACTAGTGAAAAACTCCCCAAAAGTAGAGTTCAGTTTGGGCTCCTTCCCCTCCATCAAAAAATAGAAACTGATGGTCATGGGCTTCAAAAGCCCCAAAGCCCAGCGTTGGTTGGCTCTAGTGTGGCTCATGAGTAATCACTGGTTTTTAGAAAAAATTACTCAGTCAGCTGTCAACCATGGAGCTTTCTTTATATTTTGAAGGTGATCTCTGCAACAAAAAGGGCTAGAAACAGACATTTAAAAATACAGACAAAAACAGATGGGCACTGACATGTGAAGGGTTGCTAAAAATTGAGGGCCCTGAATGTGTGTGTGTCTTGGCCAATCTTTTAAACAGGAAAGTGAAAGAGGAAATAATTTCGCAATGTTTTGTTATAACATTTTGATTTACTTCAGAATTTAAATCTGTGTGCATATGGTGTTTATTATGAATCTGCAGCAGTTTTAAAATGCATTTTTGTTCATATGTAATAAATGTGTCTTCCTACATGAAATAAACTCAATGTTATGAATAGAGGGTTTGGGGCTGAAAATCAAAAGTTTGATGTAGGTTCCTGTGCAGTCAATGTTTTTTCCACTGCATACTTTTTTTTTTAGTTGCAATAATATCTTTACAGTAAGCTTTAATAAAATACTGTGTCTGTTTCAAGTTTGTCTGTTTAACTGGCTAAAGCATTTATGAAGAAGCTTTCAGGCTAAACTAGCTGTATTTTTAAAAGGTTCAATCCCTCAGGCAAGAGTCAGAAATGCATTAGTGGCATCAGTGTTTTATGATACCGTTGCCTCCTATGCATTCATTCCATGCTCGTCGTCATTATTGTTTTTTTCAGTGTTATCAAATCAAATCTCAGAATTCACTATTAGCTGTGGTATCACAGTGCTGCTCTAGGCTTCCCTACTTCAGAGCACATCTAAATCTGGCGATCAACCCAGAATCATGTGTGAGATGCATAACAATTAAGTATGCTTGTTTTTTTATTCCTTTTCCTTCAAGTTTGTGAAGCTTGGTTGGCATCTAGCGAAATGAGTATTTCTTAATTTATGCCTAATATTTCTGTTAAAATAGTTAATGTGACCATTTATACTTTCAAGTTGGTTTGTAATTATATCATTAAGTAAGAAATTGTATAGGAAAATCAACATATTTGAGTCTGAAGCATTTCTAGTCTTGTGAAGCAGGATATCATGTGCTATGGGGGCAGCCATCCCAACCTTGATTTGCTCCCCACCCTCCCGACTTTTGGGCATCTGCCTAAAGTGTCAGATTTGGCCCAACCCAATCTGCTGTGCTAGGCCTTTTAGAAAGGGGGTGGCAAATTGTCTTGAGTAGCTTCTGGCACTATCCCTGCTCTCTGTGCTGCTGGTCAGGAAGCATCAGCAGTGGCCTGGCTTGAGCTGAATGTGGAGTGACAAAGCCCTGATCCCTGCCCTAGGTTGGCCATTGGTGAGATGCCCGCTGCCCAAACCCCACCCACCTGCCTCCCCCCCTCTGTGATGGGACTGGTCCCGCCAACCAACCACAAGCAGCCACAGCCTCAGCAAGGAGGCATAAGTGGGGGTTACTGACCCAACTTTGCCGCCCCCCCTTCCAGAATTTTTCTGAAATGACCTGTTGCTGTGAACCACATACATCTGCCTTTATGAGAACTGGACCACAGTGTATCTATCTGTTTATGGGGAGCTAATCTATCACAGAATGGATTAAAAAAAAGCTCATTAACTGGATGGGGAGAGGGCAGCTATAAGATTGTTCTACAGAACAGTAAATAGGATTATA